GACAAAGATGCATGTGAAGCTGTTTGATGGAAAACTCCACCGCCTGCTTGGAAGACCTCCTCATGATGGCTCAAGGAGCCGGGCGGCCCGCAAGCAGCTGAATGAATTAAGAAAATGAACGTGCAGGCTCGACAATACGTGACTACTCTTCGGCGAATTCTGGCCCGAGCGCTGGCAGGCTGTGAGGAAACACTTCTGCGAGTCTTCCAGTAGATGAGAGCCTTCAAAGTAATAGCCCAAACGAGAAAACACACATGGAAAGAACGAACCAAAGCAAACGCAAGGAAAGCGTAGCACCAAAAAGTCCACCATAACAAACCAGCGCACCAGCCGGCCACAGTCACTCTCAAGTGCGAACTAGCCTCTCTCACCTCACGACTTAGACCTTTGGAGCTTTGCGGGCTGGTGACTTGACGGGCGTCCCGCTCTGGGATGCACCTTGAAGTCCGGAAATTGCAGTCAAGAGATCGTGAAATCCCTTGTCCATCCTGTCGGACAGAGAGGTCTGATTTGTTTCCAGAATGCCCAGCCGCTTTTCCAAAGATGTCACTCTGGAAGAAAGTGATGTAGAAGGTGCCGATGAAGAGGAAGTGCTGGGAGCCGTGCTTGAGGCCGGAGATACTTGTTGCGGAGTGATCCATTCTTTCGGGCTCTTGGGGACCGATGGTTGGCGTGGCAACACCTGCGGCTTGGCAGGGGCTGGACCCTTGACACTTTGCTGCCTGATTTCTTTGGGAACTTGCTTCCTTGCCTCGGGCCGGGACAAGTGAATGTTGCCAACCGACGTGGAAAACTTCCAATGGACGGGCTCTGTGTCGGTAGCCACATAGATCATGGACAGCTCTTTGAAGTGATACTGCTGTAACGGGATCACATCGACGCCTAGCTCCTTGAAGGTAAGGCTCACTTCTCTCGATGTGATCCCACTGGGAAAACCCATCACTTTGAAGTTGTGAAGGGCTTTTGTGGCCCAATTGCTATCGATCCATTTGGGGTCATTCTTGTAGAAGAACTTCCTGTTGTTGACAAGCTCCTGATCGGTGGATCTGAAGTAGATGGCTTTACCCGTTTGGAAAAAGCCAAGATTGCCAGCTTGAGCTCGATGCTTGGTAGCCAAGTCTGCCAGGCTAAGGTCTGAGCTCATCTTCAATAGTTCAAGTCCTTGCTCGGGAGGATCATCAGGTTGCCGAATGGGACGAAATTGGATAGATTGAAGGCCACTGCGATGGTAGAGGGCATCACGGGCTTCCACAGGCACCATGACGCGGCGCGCAATGTAACCTTGCCGCTCAAAGGTCTTGTGGAGGATGGACTGGTCAAAGCATTTGCAAGCAACCAAGGTTTGCCGAATGTATTCTTCAAACCTGTCACTTCCGGACAGGTCAGTCCAATCCTGTTCTCGAGCTTGGGATTGGCGAAGTTCCGCAAAAACCGGGAAGCGCTGAATGCACGAGATCTCAACCTCTGTCATGGGCTCGGCCTCGGAGACCCAGTCTACTTGATGTTGACCACAGTTTACAATAGTCACGGCACGTGGTTCCTGGCTACCCACTAAGCCGTCAGCTAGCGAGAGTGTGGCCGTGAAGACTCTGTCTGAAGAGAATCCTTTCTGGACAAGCTGAGCTTGGATGAAGCCTTTAGTCACAAGGAAGAAGCAACCTGCAGTGCGAAGGGATGCAAAATCAGTTGCCTTCTTTGTTATTATTAGAGCATATCCAATGGAGGTCGGAGAAGCTTCGTCAATAGGGATGGATTCAATCTCATCTGCTCCGTATTCATCAGGCAGAGTCAATTCACCCAGATCGGCAAGGTAGAGCCCAGCGCCGCCAGGAGACGTCTCCCAAGGGGAGCGCTTCGAAGGCGGCATGGAGCAAACGGCAAAACAGGTGGACCAACCCTGAGGCACCCACCAACCACGAAGTTTACGCTTGTTAGCCTTCTTACAAAACACTCTGAGGTCAGCGG